TTGTGGTTGCAAGTACTGGTGGAAAAAATACTGATCTTGTAAATATGTAGGCATTTAGTTGCGAACTCTGTTTTGCTTTATAATGCATTGTATTTTCAGCGTGGCATCCCAACAGGAGCTGTCTGATGGTACCCCAAGTGATAGTCACAGACACTAGGACAGCCGCTGTGCAAGAAGGAGCATAGATCAGTGTCTTCAGGTGTGGATCTGCCTCGTGGCCAAGAGGAGACATGATGAGCAAGGGAAAAAAGAGTAGGATATTTCATACTGGATCACTTAGGAGAAATTAAAAATGCTTTGGTGCACCCTAGAAGTGCATTTGTGTATGACACCAGGATTTGCATGTCATGGGTGAATGTAGAAATAACGCAGGAGAACACAAATGTGGAAACAGGAAACAAAATCCCCCAGCCCAACATGAAAGGTTGGGATTTTGAAATGAAATTCCCAGATTTTCCAACATCGGATTCCTGAGAGGAGAACGTGCGTTTCAGTCTCTCTGGGGGATGCATTTGCAACCAGCTCAGCTTTTGAGAATGCTGCTTGTAATAAAATATTTCTGATTAAAAGAATGTTGATGAAAGACTTCTGACCCATCTAAAAAGCTTTAGAGCTGTTTTCCTCTTCTCTCCGTTTCTGCTGACTCCAGTCACTAGTGCTGTCAACACTATTTAGGAATTCCATTTGTCAGTGTTCAGCATTGTTTCCTGATAAAGAAATAACGGCAGGGAAAAAAAAAATACCCTGCTGACATATCGAAGGCAGCCAGTGACTGCTGTGAGCAAGGTGACATTTGCAGACACCTGAGGTTTAGGTGTCTGCGTTCCCTCGTTAGCACTTTTTAATTAACATATGGCATGTCTGCATGGCAAAATGCAAGGAGTGATCAACCCAGCAGTGCTCTGGGCTAATACGGCTGTTAGTATTTTTATTTTTTTTTTCTGCTACCCAAGTAACTCCTGGATCCAGCTGTGTTGTGCTGTTCCAGAGCTGCAGTGAAAGGAGATCTCAAAATCCCATCGCTGCTGTCGCAGGTTGTGCTTAGCTGTTGAGCCACCTCCATCCGGCGGCGTCCCGGGGAGGGGGTGACTCACGTCCCTGCTCCGTGCCAGCCGGTGCTGGAGGTACGTTTGCCAACGGTGACCCGACCATGAGTCACTGCAATGTGGCCATTGCCTTCAACTTTCCATTTCTTGGCCCTGCTATTTTTGGGTCCGGTAATTATGAGGTGAGCTGTGAATCACCGGTGTCTCGCTCTACGCTGGGAGGAAACCAGGCAAATTGTGTTAACGTGCTTGGCAGGAGGGATTCTTGATCTCCAGTGCTTTACAGGCTTTGGCCCTTCTTCTTGCTGCCCAGAGTGATGTGCTCACCCTTCCTCATGTGTAACTCACACAGAATCTGAGCAACAGCCAGACGGCCTTGGGCTCATGCTCCCTCCAGCCCAGTGTCGTCTTCTAGGGAGGAACTGATGCTTCAAAGGCCTGGAGGGGACTTCCAAGGTCGCCCAAAGGCTTTTAGTGACTTGTTCATCCAGTCCACATAGAATCATAGAATCACAGAATCATAGTATGATTAGTCAGGGTTTAGATTAGAAAACAGCATCAAATGGGTAACTCAGAAGGAGGCCAGACACCCGTGTTGACATTGGCCTCCATGGCAGCTGGTCTTGCAGTGTTTATGCCATTTGGAGGGACGATGGTGCCCCGAGGCTTGTTCTTTGCTGTTTGCTGTGCTGTGTGGTGCGCAGCAGCAGCACGACTACATCGAAGCTCGCCAGTAGAGCCAGGGGGAAATTGCTGACCCTTTTTGTAAAGATGATGAGTCAAGAGAGGAACGTGCAGAACTTTTCTGCTTCTTTGTAAGCGATGGACCCTGTGACAGCGCTGAACAACCCCGCAGGTAGGGGTGTGTGCGTGGTGTTCTGCACAAGCAGCGGTTGAATCCCATCCCTCTGCTTTACCGTTTCGCTTCCCACCACCCGAGCAGGACAGACTCACCTGCGGCCTTGTTTTAATGCCCCGGGAGTCCTATGGGAGTTTGTTTTTCTTGCACATTCCCGCCTCTGCCAATCTCTTCCCAGCTCGGCTCCACGGTTCCAACATGCCTGTCAAAAACTGGTCTCCAAACGCTTCCTCTCAGATACAAGAAAACCAAGAGCGTGTTTCTGCACCCAGGAATCCCCAGGCTGGAAAGGAGTCTGCTGGGGATCATCAGGCTGTTGGAGAAGGGGGAGACCGAGGAGCTGTAAACCTGCAGGAATTTGAAAAACCCACTTTAATTTAAGTGGAATGTCCTTTTGTTCCCAAATGGATGGGCCTGGCTCCAAAGGCGTTCAGGCGCAGTAACTGTTACCAGATGGGCTGTGAAAAGCAACACAAACAGGTGGTGAGGACAACAACTGTAGACTTTAATTTCCTTGTCAGCTTCTCCCTGTGCCTTACATACCCCCTCGGGAACAGGAGGACGAGGGGAGCTGTCATACTTGGGTACGGCAAAAGGAATGGCTGTCGAGGGGATATTCCGCAACCATATATAGCAGGTCAAGCCCTTGGACTCTCAGTGGTGAGGCTGTCATCTGGGCCAAGGTGTGCAGCGATTAACTTAAAATACAATTCAATAGCATGTGCATTTTTATAGAGAGAGTGATCGATATATTTTAATGCATGCTGACATTTATATTGGCTTGGATCCTCCCAGGTGTAACTACTGTTCTTCCATGTGAGACAGTGGGACCATGCTGAAGTTGCCCACTTGGGGCTCTGCCCAATGTGCTTGGGGGTGTTGAAGGCTGGGGCTGCAGGAGCATGAGAAGTTTTGGTGGGACCCCACACATAGTTGAAGAGGGGCAAGTGCAAGGCGACAGCATAGCAGTCCTGCAGCCCGCGCAGGGCAGTTTTACGGAGGCAGCAGCGGGCTCCCGCTTCTGCAGGCTGGTGCCTGGCTCTCCACTTCCTTCAGCGTGGCTTCCCATGGTGACTGAAGTGTTTGCTGTGCTGTGACTGGTGTGAAGAGTGAACATACTTCGGTACAGGTAGGGTAGAAGCCAAACCAGTGTCATTGCCTCCACCTTGTCCTAATAGAGAGCATTCAAACCCCTGGAGCCGTCGCTCGCTGCTTGCCAATACCTGCAAGCGCCCATGCATTGGTAGCTGCATCGCTGCTGCTACATTGGCATGTGCAACAGCACTGGGAAAAGGAGCAGAGCAGGTATTTGCCAAGAAAAGCCATTTCGTAGTTATCTCAGCACTGATGTTGCTCCAGTGACCGTAGGCACAGGCAGTAAGGATAAGCATGACTCCAGGTGTGTGGATGTACCGATTTATTGCTGGAGTAAATACCAACTGGGCGCAAAACAATCTGTGCTCTTATGGGACGCACGGTTTGTGGCTCACCACCTTGCTGGCCTGGGCAAGGCAAGGGGGGTGCTGGAGAGTGCACTCCTGTTCTTCAGTCAACAGTGTCCAACGTGCTTATGCTCAGTCTCTCTCTTACTGGGTTTTTGCTTCCCAAATGCAATGCTATCCGTGTCTGTCTGACTGTATTTCCATGTCCTTGGCTGCAAGCATAGAAGTGAAACTGTCTTTTGTGTCGCTTGTTCAGGCCCTTATCAGTCACGCTTCATTTCCACTGTCTGACACCTCTTTGTTCACAGCTCCCCATCTCTGCCCAAACTGACGCCTCTCGGTCTGGATGTGGGGAGGACAAGACAATGCAGTCCTCATTTAAGCCAAGTGGAGCTACATACAGAGAGTGGCAGAACCTTGGCTATAGTCAAGCCCAGAGTAGTAGCCTTTTCCTTGCGCTTTCCTTACTCAAAGATGAGCACATCTTCTCACAGTCAGTAAGAGCTGGCGCGAGACTCGTGCTCACCCCAGAGGGCTGTATTTTGTCCCAGTAAGGGCAGTCCTTGGAAATTTGAAGCTGAGAGAACAGGAGTTCATGATACTTTATGGTCCGAAAAGGTTTCTAGGATCGTCAGGAATGGGGAGATGCATTTTGGACTTTTTTTGTTTCTTTTTAGAGATAAGGAAGCTGAGGCAATGGGATAGCTTGAGCGAGCTGGTACAAGTCTTATATGCAGTTGAGCTGGGAAATGAATGCTTGCGGTCAATGTGCTTTCCACCTTTTTACATGGGGACTAGCACAGCGCAGTTAAGGTGTGGTGTTGAAATTTTGCAAGCCCCTTCCTAAGTCCTTTCCATCTTGAAACCATTGAGGTTATTCACCCCACTGCTGTGGGCTCTTAGCTTTCTAGCCTTTCACAGCTCCAGTTGTCTCTCCTAGATGATCAGCTGAATTCAGAAGAGAAGAAGAAGCGAAAGCAGAGAAGGAACAGGACTACCTTCAACAGCAGCCAGCTCCAGGCATTAGAGAGGGTCTTCGAGAGGACACACTACCCCGATGCCTTTGTACGGGAAGACCTTGCACGCAGAGTCAACCTCACTGAAGCCAGAGTTCAGGTAATCACCACAGCTTGTGTCCAGACACACCTTACCAGGGAGGGTCATCAGGCCATTCCAGTAGGGCAATAGAAGTCCTCGAGGCCTGCGTAGCACGCTAGGGTCACCAAGCTTCAGGGTTATGCTGTATTGCAGTCCCAAGCATGCCATGCCTTGAGGACGACTGCCAGGCCTGATCACCATACTTACCACCTGCCCAGTCAGATGTATTCATACGATTTGTTCAAGGCCAAGATGTTGGATGTGCTGTGCTCACATTATCTTGAGCTGCTCAGCAAGCCTGCACCTTCTGAAGGTCAAAGCAGACTGTGGACCATGATGGTGGTACAGCACTCCCAGGTCTTGCTGCCTACAGCACAGGACAGACCTGGTCCCACAGGGTCCTCGCTGAACCGGTTCCTCACACAAGGGCTTTATCAGGGCAGACATAAGGATTTTCTTGTCATTAGAGTTGCCAGTGACAGGCGTGCCAAAGCAGCCCACTTTTACAGAGTCCTATCTTGCCTGGCAGGGCAGATGTGGTGTGGTGGAAGGGTCAGTGTCACAGCAGAGCTAGTTCTGATGGTTGGTGGGTCTGTGCGCTTCCTATCCCAGGTGTGGTTCCAGAACCGGAGAGCCAAGTTTCGCCGGAATGAGAGGGCCATGCTGGCCAGCAAGAATGCCTCTCTGCTCAAATCCTACTCAGGGGACGTGACTGCCGTGGAACAGCCCATAGTACCTCGCCCAGCTCCGAGACCCACTGACTATCTCTCCTGGGGTACTGCCTCGCCTTACAGGTGAGTGAATAACCCTTCTGTGGCTAACGAGTTTCTCAAATAGTGTAGAGCAGTCTGAGAGTGGCCCTCAGACAGCTCTAACGGGCTTTTAATATTCACATGGGACAACTGGAGGATACAGCAGTTTGACAACCCCACTGGTTTTCCTTAACCTGTTCCCATCCTACCCCATCTCACTGTCAGGCTTGCAAAGTGGGCTTGGTTCAGCATTGTCATGGCTCTCTGGGAGTTGGGTCTGTGGGAGGTTGCAGCTTTTTTGGTGGTCTCTCTCTGCAAGTCAGGAAGTTTTGAAAGAGGATCGGGTAGAAGTACATGAAGACAGAAACTTCCTTAGTGCATCCAGTTTAAAGCAAGGAGGAAACCTTTCCATGAGATCCAGGGGAGGTGGTGGCAGAGCACCTGGGGAGGCTCAGCCACCAGGCGGTGACCAGAAGAGGGAGTTCTGTGGCTGTCCAATGGCAGTCACTGGTTGGGATGCAAGGAAGGGCTGGGAACTCACTCCATGCATGTTGCTCCTAACCTTCCCCTCAATGGTCAGCACTGAACTGGTGAGCAATTTCTTTCTAGTTGCGAGAGCACAAGCACATGTGTGAACGAGCTGCACTGTTGTGTGGTGCTGTGGTTTGCCCACAGTAAGGACCAGGTGTCTCTGGGTGGCAGACTGGTGTTCAGTGTCCATCTCCTGTGGCCAGCACTGCTTAAAGGGCGGCAGGAAAGAAGTGCAGATGCGGCAACCCCAGTCTGCTTAAAGGATCTTGGATGTCTGTGCACATCACAGGCCTCCCTATCCTCCCCCGTGCAGTCCACAGCCCAGCAGGAGCTGGGTGTGGGTGCAAGATCCACAGGATGTGTTGGTTTGTGGGGAGCCAGCTGGCTTGTAGGCAGTTAAAAATGAGGTTGGTGGGTGTTTTTTAGCACAGTGGCTTCATTGTTGGTCAGGACCTTGGAGCCTTTGGCTGGATTCCTTCCTGTTCATCTGACTCGATCACAGCCAGCTTCCAGGAGTCACACCAGACCCAGGACCTCTCTTCCTCAGTCACCTTGACCCCTTTCTTGCATCCCAAACATTGTTTGCAGTTAGATCTGCAAGCATATGGCTTCCCTGATAGTTTGCTGCTTCAGTGCCATGGGGTCCTCCTCATCCACCCTGTAGCTCCAGAAGAAAAGAACAAGTCATAGGTTCAACCTGCTCCAGATACTGAATTGGATGCTTTTGGTGACCACCAGTTTGGTCTTAGAGATGTCCCTTACCGTTTGGATTTTATCTGAGGACTTCCATCTGGCAAAATCCCCCTTTGGGGGTTAAGGCTTTCTCTCTGTGAAGCGCTCCTCAGTGTTGCATCCTAGGGAGGAGTTTGGGTGGGTGAGTGCAGGGGAGAGAAGCTCCCCACCCGCTGGTCACAGAGCCAGGTGCCTGCTTGAATGCTCATGGCTTATTTCTCTCTCTCACGCTTTTAAAAATAGATCATCCCTCCCAAGATGTTGTTTACATGAGGGGTTCATAATGGCTTCTAGGACAAGACCCTGCAAAGGTGACTTCCGGGGCACACTGGGAAGGGTTGTCGGGGGCTGCTGTGGGCAATGAGAAGCCCAAGGCATCTGGGATGTGTGGATGAGGAGAGCAAGGGAGAAGGGAAAGCCTTAGGGATGGTTTCCTCCCCCTGAGGTCCAGACCTGGCTGTGCCTCTCCATGGTGCGAAGACGGATCCTCACTGTCTTCTCCTTGACTTAAGCAAAAACATTTCAGCAAAGATATTTACAGCTTCAAGCCATCCCCACTGGCTGACACACCAAACCAGGATGGATTGTCACCCTCCCACTGTCCTGCAGAGGGGTAGGAGGCATTGGCAGAGGGGCAGAGCAGCTGGTTTCCACAATGTGGGGTGGTCAGGACCCTCAGACACTTCAGGTTTTCTAATCCTGCTGGGCAGCTCTGATCCTGCTGGGCAGCTCTTAACAATTACATTCATCATAACAGGCACCTGGGCCAGGTTGTCACAGCCTCATTAAGGCTTTGAACTGAGTAGGGTTATTAAAGTGTTCGACACTTGGTGAAAAACAGCTGTGCAGAATGTTTGCATGGCCCTCTGCCCCCTCCTCATCTCCCCAGCACTGCCATGACAGCCCCGGATGAACGGCTGGTCCGGGAGAGGGCTGAGAGCAGGGCTGAGAGCTGCGTTGGCCAGTGCCATTTTTACTCTTAGATCTGGGGAAAGTTTTCAATCAGTGTGTTTATTCTCCAAATATATTCAGCCACAGGTTGACCAAAGCTATTTGCAAATCTGTGTCACATAGATAGCCAAGTAGATACTATTATTTTTTTGAAGTTGAAATGTTTTGCTTAGACATTTTTTAGCGTAGGTTCCTAAGAAAACAAGACTAGCAGTTGTGCTGTCAGCCTGCACTTCCCACTCCAACAACCTTTGACTCCATGGGCTATTGTAAACCTTATTTGAAAGGAGGATTCAAGGTCTCAGAAACATGGTGTTCCTCTGTGTTTCATGAAAGCAGGCAGATGAGTAGAGGAAGGAGACTCTGTGCCTGAATGGGGTCAAGGGAGGGGGCAGCAGGGTGACTTCAACCCTGATTAGACCCTAAAGAGTCTCTGGACCAACCCTTCAAGCCATACTGACGTTTGGATATGGCCTTTTGGGGCACTGGTCCTTGTGGAATAACTTGCTAAAAGAGAGCGTTCCTGTAGATTTTGGTTTAGCAGAGATTTCACTGGGCAACAGTAATTTTCCCCACACCGCTGGGGAGCTGAGAGCAGGAGGCACCCTGGAGTTTTAGGCCAGACTTGGGCAGCAGTTATACATGGGTTTTGAATGGGGACAGTTTACATTTGCGACTGAAAATTCCCATTTTATCTAAGCTAGAGCATCCCCAAGGCATTTCTTCCAGCACAAAACCATGGGGGAAGTGCACCCTGTGGAAACGGGTGAGAATGGGTTCTGTAATGACCATCAGCTATAGACCCTGCAAAACTTTGCAGCGCCTCTGCAGGCAGCACTTGGCTTCTTGCATTGCTGCTGACTTAGGGGGAGAGGGTAAGTCACCAACCCAAAGTCAGCCACAGAGAGGAAACTGAGGGGGTGCACGGCAGGCTGGGGAAGGCTCCAGGCACCCCAATCCATCACTTCCTGGACCCTGGCGAAATGCAGCTGATGCACCCCATCTTGGGCAGTGTCGAACACCCCTGAGCCCCAGGGGTGCATGGGAAGCTCTGCAGCTCTTCCTCCCCAGCTCCTCTGCTCAGGGCTATTGTGGTTTTATTATCTGAAAGGTTTTGGGTTCTTCTGAAGGAAGAAAATGGGTAAGTCTATATTTTTAAGGATATTTTGATGTGTGTATTTTAATGTCCCTCCTCCATATCCTTTCAGTAGCTATTAGAGACTCCCAAAGTATCCTGAATGTGTGCTCATCTTGGGAGAGTTTTTGGTGCTTTTCCCTGGATGGGTATATCCACCAGTCTCATCTGTCATTTCCATGGGTGTAAGCTGTCGTGTTTCCACCAGTGCTGATGCAGACATGACAGTTCCTCCCTGAAGAAATTCTTTTTTTCCCTGATTTTAAAGTGAGAAATAGGATTCATTTGGCCTGGTATGGGACCTACTAGTATTGCCTGGCCTGGATCTCCTGGAGGCTGAGGATTCAGACAGCACTGAATTGCATTTAGGCTCCTGGCAGGTCAGCTCTGCCCTGCAAAGTCAGAGATAGCACCAGCAGTTCGGGGTGAGCATGCGTGCTCACAGCCTGGAGCTACGCGTTCAGGAAATGCCTGCCTCCCTCGAGGGAGATTTGCTGTTTCAAAGGCTCTTCCAGGCATGGAGATCAGCGCTAGAAGGAAAAAATAAAATAAAAAAAAAAAGAAAAAAGGAAAAAAGCAAGCTATCTTATTTCTTGGGATGTGGGTGGTGGAGAGCATTTCCCAGAGCCTTGGACATGAGCCACTCGGGCAGACAGTTGGAAAGGGTCAGCCCCAGCCCTGAGCTTGCCTCCAGGAGAGCATTTGTGGCTTCCTCCTGAGCACGCTGGCTGCATTAAATGGGTGTCTCTAATTCACCTCCTGGTTTTCAACTATTTTTTATCTGCGGACCCACATATAGGAAATGCAACACGTCAGATAGTTTGCTGGTTTTTGGGGCAGGGGGGTTGCTTTTTGCAGAAACCTGGGACACATGGGTTAAACAAGTTCTCTAGTGGTCTGGAAAGCAGATTTGCAAATTTTTGGTAGGATAAGAAAGGACTCTCAGATCTGTGTTCATCCTGCCAAAAGTAATGTTTTTCATGAATAAAGACATGATTTGAAGGGAGAAAAAATCATTTGTTTTTTTTTTTCCTTCAGCCTTTAAGGCATGTTCCATATGATCAGCTGAAGTTTTGAGGGAAAAAATGTGGACATTCTCGTTCCAAAAGACTGAAACCAAAAAGCATCACAATTGTTGCGATGGGTTTTTCCCGGAGTGTTTCTTTAATGTAATGTGTTTCAGAAGTGATGTGATTTCACAAGCGGTAAAAACAGCATCATGCTCTCACCAAAAAGACATTGCTTTCGATGGGAATACTTCTAAGGACAGTGGTCTAACTGGCAGACTGGGCACCCTGACCTCGCTGTAAACCTTTTGGGTTAGGAAATAGGAAATGGAAATTCTCCTACTGAGTTCAACCAACATTGGTGGTGGCTATCCCTGGGTAAGTGAACTGCAGTGGAGAGATTTACAGGGGTGCTAAATAAAAAGTAGTGATAATTCCCTGCTCACATAAGAAATACATCCCACGAAATAAACCCCAGGGTTTATCCTCACTGCAGTGCGTGCCCGCTCTCTGCGTGGTGTGAAGACCACATCTGACATGACTTTTCTGTGTTTCCATCCCACAGTGCCATGGCCACCTACTCTGCCACGTGTACCAACGCCAGCCCAGCGCAGGGCATGAATATGGCCAACAGTATTGCCAACCTGAGACTGAAGGCAAAGGAATATAGTTTACAGAGGAATCAAGTGCCCACAGTCAATTAACGACTGGGGGCAGCTGCCTTGCAGAAGGAGAAAATGCAACAGCACCCGTCCTGCTTTGCAACTTGTTTGTGCTGAAAGAAAGAAAAAAACCAAAAAAAAACCCAAACCAAAAAAAACCACAAAAAAAGAAAAAAAGAAGAAAAAAAGCCAACCCTAACCCAGAACTGAACATGGGGACCAAACTGGGAGCAAACTGAACC